GATCTCCTGCATTCAGACTCCATCCAACTCTTTTCATCATGTGCTTCCAAGCTACTGAAAATATTTGCCTCCAAAATGGTTAACCATTCCTACAAACCAGCAGGTTCGATAAGCTCTACAAAGGGCGTAGAATCCCGTGAGCCAGGTGTTGGTACCAAGTACAAGGTAAAATAGTTGCAAGCGTGTCGGTTTTTCTTTATTTGACATTTTCATGGCAACTTACGTATCTCTTCTGTTTGAATAGGCTCTACTATTTGAGCTATTTCATAAATTGGAGTGCACGAGCCATCACTTCATTTGTTGCATGAGACCGAACCGAAGTCAAGTTTGTGGCTTATTTGAGGAGGACCTTGTCCGACAACAACTTAGGTACTGTGGCATTTTGGAGGTTATTAGGATTTCAAGGTCTGGATATCCTATCAGGATAACGCATAAAGAATTTGCTGGAAGGTAGAAGGAAATTTCTTGCACTAGCTTCATTAAATTTTATGCTATAACTAGACTGTTCTTGAATTTCATGTCTGAATATGATGTAAGGTATGAATTCTTCCTTGAAGAATCGGGTGTTGCTCGAGATCCGTTGAGTATATCAATTGCTGTTCTGCAGCATTTTAATGTCCACCCCGAGATGTACCATGTTGGTTATACGAAACTATTATTCCGAACTGGGCAGGTGAGTCCTGTCTTTGGTTTTTCCTGTTAAGATGAGAAATGATATTTCATTGGAGAATTAAAATTTACTTTCGATTTGAGTTTGTATCATGGTGATGGGTTTTTGTGGTTCTCAGATTCGGGCCGCCTTGGAGGAAAGGAGGACGCAGGCTATGCAAAGCATCCTCGGGGTTCAAAAACACTTCCGTGGTTGCCATTCTCGTGGTCACTTCCATGAACTTAAGCATGCCGCCACGATCTTACAGTCATGTATATTGTCGATCTTTTTAGTTCGATTTCTGGTAGCTTAATATGTTGTTATATATCGGTACTTAAGTTTCATCTTTTCAAAAAGTTTCTCCCTTTCTATGGGATCTCACATTGGTTGGGGAGGAGAACGAAACATTCTTTATAAGGGTGTGAAAACCTCTCCCTAACAGACGAGTTTTTAAAACCTTGAGAGGAAGCCCGAAAGGAAAAACCCAAAGAGGACAATATCTGCTAGTTGTGGGCTTGGGTCATTACACATGGTATCAAAGCCAGACCCTGGGCGATGTGTCAGCGAGAAGGCTAAGCCCCGAAAAGGGTGGACACAAGGCGGTGTGCCAGCAAGGACGTTGGGCCTCGAAGGAGGTGAATTGGGGGGTCCCACATCGATTGGAGAAAGGAATGAGTGTCAATGAGGATGTTGGAAGGGAGGTGGATTGTGAGATTCCACATCAGTTGGGGAGGAGAACGAAACATTTTTTATAAGGGTGTGGAAACCTCTCCCTAGCAGACATGTTTTAAAAACCTTGAGAGAGCCCAAATAAGACAATATCTGCTAGCGGTGGGCTTGGGCTATTATACGTTCACCAATTCCTACTCTGTAAACATGGTTGCACGCTTCAAATTAAGAGGATAGTCCGCAATAAACACTGATCAATCAATTTATCTATGCAGTTATTCGCGGCGAAAGTTCGAGAAGGAGAAGTACCGGTAAGGTGAAGAGGTTCTCATTCACTGTGCGCGCTTTCAATGTTCCTTCAAAGGTGTATGAACAGCAGGCAATCATTCGATTACAATCCGGTAATCACGAGTGTTATGTCATGCTGCAACATTTGTAATGATCGATATCATACTAATCTTATATCTTCCGCTTTACCCTGCAGTAATACGTGGTTCGTTGGTTCGAAATCATTTTATGGGCAAGAGTGATTTGAATAGGTTTGAAAACCAACCAAACAGGGGCAGGAGACTTTCAGAGGTATCCTCATGTTATTTCTTCTACCTGTTCGACATAGTTGAGGGAAATGTGTTTACTGGGTAATCGTGCTCATAAGTTTAGGACTATATGTATGTGCGAGCGTCCGTGACGGTCTCTTATTTCTCGAGCAGGATCATGCGTTGCCTGCGACACTGACCGGCCTTCAAAAGAGGGTCCTTGAAGCGGAAGCAACCATAGGGAAAAAGGAAGAGGAAAATGCTGCATTGCGGGACCAAGTAAAGCAATTTGAGGCTAGGCGGTTAGAATATGAAGCCAAGATGAAGTCCATGGAGGATATGTGGCAAAAGCAGATGGCATCTTTGCAAGTAAGTTCACATTCAGCTTAGGACACCACCTAATTTTTTATGCGAAAAAGTTGGTATGTGAGATCCCATATCGGTTAGAGAGGGGAACGAAACATTTCTTATAAGGGTGTGAAAATCTCTCCCTAATAGATGTGTTTTAAAACCGTGTAGTTGATGGTGATATGTAACGCGCTAAAGCGGACAATATCTGTTAGCGGTGTGCTTGGGCTATTGTGAATGGTATCAGATCCAAACACCAGGTGGTGTGCCAGCGAGGACGCTGGACCCCATGAGGGTGGATTGTGAGATCCCACATCGGTTGGAGAGGGGAAAGAAACATTCCTTATAAGGGTGTGGAAACCTCTCCCTAACATACGCATTTTAAAACCGTGTAGTTGACGACGATACGTAATGGGCTAAAGCGGACAATATCTGCTAACGTTGTGCTTGGGCGATTATGAATGGTATCGGAGCCAAACATCGGGTGGTGTACTAACGAGGACGCTAGGCTCATAAGGGGAGTGGATTGTGAGATCCCACATTGGTTGGAGAGGGGAAAGAAACATTTGTTATAAGGGTGTGGGAACCTATCCCTAACGGCGCGTTTTAAAATCGTGTAGTTGACAGTGTTACTCAGCGGACAATATCTACTAGCGGTGTGGTTGGGCTGTTACAAATGGTATCAGAGCCAAACACCAGGCGGTGTGTCAGCGAGGACGCTGGGCCCTTAAGGGGGGTGGATTGTGAGATCCCACATGGAACAAAACATTCCTTATAAGGGTGTGAAAACCTCTCTCTAACATACGCGCTTTAAAACCGTGTAGTTGGCGATGGTACGTAACGAGCTAAAGTGGACAAAATTGCTAGCGGTGTGCTTGGACTGTTACAAATGGTATTAAAGCCAGACACCGGACCGTGTGTCAGCAAGGACGTTGGGCCCTCAATGGAGGTGAATTGTGAGATCCCACGTCAGTTGGGGAGGAGAACAAAATATTCCTTATAAGGGTGTGGAAACCTCTCTCTAACAGACGTGTTTTAAAACTGTGAAGTTGACAGTGATACATAACAGGCTAAAACTGATAATATCTATTAGTAGTGTGCTTCGACTGTTACGTATTAACAGAGAAAGAGAAGTTTAACATAGAAGTGTCAATAGTCATGAAACCCTTCTTGAAACTAGAACACTTTTTGATTTACTTTAACTTTTGAACTAAGCTAAGCTGTTATACTTAATGCAGACGAGTCTTGCTGCTGCTAAAAAGAGTCTTGCTGCTGAAAATGTGGCCGGAAGGGCAGGTAACTCACCACCTCACTATTACGATTCTGAAGATACGACGTCCATGGAATCTCGAACTCCCCGTGAAACTGGAGCAGGCCGAGAAATGAATGGTACATCATTTGCTGTGAACAATCTCGTAAAGGAGTTTGAACAGCAAAAGAATGCATTCGATGATGATGCCAAAGGTTTGGCCGAAGCAAAATCAGGTCAGGGACAAACAGGAGGGGCTAACACGAATCCGGACGAAGAATACCGTAAAATTAAAGTCCGGTTCGAAACATGGAAAAAGGAGTACAAGGCAAAACTACGTGAAAATAAACCTAAGGTTCATAAACATGGACCTTTCGAGGCTGATATAATTCGTCGAAAATGGTGGGGGAAGTTGCGGTTAAGATCGTCATAGATGGATTATTGAGTTGTATATGAAGGACCGGAGAGGTCTTGAAAGGGTGGGAGAGAACGTTGATCAGACAACGACCCGACGAATGGAGAAATGTTTAACGTGTCAGGATGACGGAGGGGGAGGGGGAGTGTTGAGAAGATTGTGTATAAGAGTCATTTGGTGAGAGATGAGAAGCATGGTCTCCGGTGCATGGTAGTTTAGTTTGGTGTATAGTTTGTACTGTCATTTTATATTTAGTTTGATGGTATAGATGTTGTTCATAGTTTATATTAAAGGAATGGAAGAAAGCGTTTGTACCTCCGAATACACTGTATCAGCTCTCCATTATTTAATGTCATATCTTCGGTCAAGTCTACTCTTACTAGATATTGTTCTCTTTGGGCTTTCTCTTTTGAGTTTTTCCTTAAGGTTGTTAAAACGTGTCTCTTATGAGAGGTTTCTACATCCTTATAAAGAATGTTTCATTTTTCTCTCTCACTGACGTGGAATCTCACAATCCACCTCCCTTTGGAGCCTAGTGTCTTCGTTAACATTCGATCATTTCTCCAATCAATATTAAATAATACTCATTTTGGAACATTTTTTGTAACCATACATGTACTAAATATTAATGGGGTTGGCCGTGTTGGAAGCTAGCCGAGGCCGCCATTGATGTCACTGTTACACGCTCTCCCAATTGAGCTAGCTATCCCGCATGATTAAAATTATAAGAATAAAATGTTGGCTCATTAGCAAAATTCTGACACATGTCAAATCAAGTTTAGGTTGTTTCTTCATTTTAAAACATATTAAATTATAAAATAAGTATTTCAACACCTATATTTATATCTATTCAAAAAATATTTAATAAGTAATTAAATTATTAAATTTATAGACTGAATTTTAAATATATTTAATACATTTTTAATTTTGTCTCCAAAGTTTGAATATTAGAATTTGACACCAAATAAGTGGATTGTGAAATTGGGAAGACAGGAATACATAACGTGACAAACTAGATAATATCGGTTAGTTGTGGGCTTAGCCTATTATAAATGGTACCAGAGCTAGACACCGAATTGTGTTCCAGCGAGGACGTTCAGCCCCAACAGAATGTATTATAAGATCTCACATCGATTAGAGAGAAAACAAAACGTTTCTTATATAAGCGTGTTTGTTGAAGTAGAATGAGTGGGAAGAATTAAAATTCATGATCCTTTGAGGGTTTCTGAAGCAGCTAAGTGAGTTGGGTGAGGGTGTTGTTGAGGGGCATCAGAGCCCCTAAACAGCAAAATTGCAAGGCTTCCAACACAAAAATATATGAAACACCCAAAACAATGGGTCACAAATGACCCAAAATCTGTTCCCACAATGCACTGCCATCCTCCACCATGTGTCCTGTCAAATTCCTGCCCAAACAACCTTAATTAATTCACCCCCTTTACCAAATATCAACACAAAAATTTAACCAATTTACCTTCTTTATGAACCGAGCAATGTCAGTCGCTTCCGTGACATCAAACCTGTCCAGTGCCTTAGCCGCCAGGTCCAACGCGTCCTGCTGCATCGCCTGCAGCATGTCCGTCTCGCCCACGATTGCTTTTCCTTCCAACATGCCTCCCACACGGCGGAGCTGGCGGCTGTTGGTGGTGGCTGTGGGCGGAGGAGGAATGAACAAATATTCTATTATATAGAGGTTTTAGGATAAACTTTGGCTGGTGCTAACTCTTGGGTCACCCACAGCCAGATCCTCTCTATGTGGTCACCAACGAATCTTTTCGGAATCATGCTAATTCTTCCCTTTCGATACCCAATAAAAAGGGTGGTCGAGTTGAATCATCACTAAATCCAAAAATTCAATTAAATGAATCTAGATAAGTTTCTAAGTTCTCGTTACTTTTTCTTTTTGATTTGCACGTGGAAAATTTTGTTCGTATAGATTATTAGCCATTAAATTATGCTTATATATACATACGTACGTACCCACGTGCATATGTATATATATTTTTGATGATTTGTACATCTCTATTAGTACGAGAGTTTATGTTTAAAAATACACATACATACATACATATATCTATACATACATACATATATACATACATATATATATATATATATATATATAAATAAAAGGCCCTAAAAAGCTAGTGCATAATGTGGCTTTAGGTGTGAAAATTACCGGGAATTTCTCGTCCATGTATAACTCCTAAACACGTGGAATGGGCATGTGGTCCTTCAATGAGATTCCGACATGTGGCGTTTGTCGGATTTGAACAAAAAATAAAATAAAATTTATATTGAAATAATCCAATGTGAATGTATTATGAAGTTTAATTACATGATTAAGATAATTAAACAAGATTAGCGATTTGATTTTTGTTTTGAATTTTAGTGAACAGTGTTAATAGCAATGAATCATTTTATTGGTAATTTAAAATGAAAACAAGTTTCCTATAAATAATAAAAAATTCACACCGACGTGGAAGTTTGACCGAATCAAATAAGGACACGACATGTCCAGCTGTCACCGACCGGAGAAACGAATTCCTGGTTTGCTGGAGAGTCGCAACGCATTGTTCGCCGCCATTGTCTCTGCACCATTCAAATCTTCAATATTACACCATTGCCATTCCCCTCCAAACCCATCATCAACCCACGCAACCACCGCTTCCGCCAAAAACCACCGCCCACCATGGTCCGCTGTCTGTTCACATGCTTAGGCAAGGGCAGCGACAACGGCGGCGCCCCAATCCCCAACGACAAAGCCAGCAGCGCCACGGCGGATGTAACGGCGGAGGAGAATCGCCGGGGTGGAGCCGTACTAGTGGAGCTATTCTCGTCGCAGGGATGCGCGACATCGCCGGAGGCAGAGGTGCTGTTGTCAAGGCTGGGGAGAGGAGATTTTGAATTGGAGGTGCCGGTGGTGGTTCTGGCTTACCATGTGGACTACTGGGACTACAATGGGTGGAAGGACCCCTTCGGTCATAGCCACTGGACGGTCCGCCAAAAGGCCTACATTGAGGAGTTAGGGCTCGATACAATGTTTACTCCTCAGGTCGTGGTTCAGGGCCGGGCTCAGGCGGTTGCTAACGATCAGGATAGCTTGGTGGGTATGATTAAATCCGCTCCCAAGTTTCCTGCTCCCACTTTCCAGGTTCAATTTTAACCCCAATTTCTGGGTTCTATTGCAATTTTCGGATTAAACTACGATTCTGGATGTGAATTTGATTTTAAGAAACAGAGCTTTCCCCAATTTTCACTCTCGCCGGAAATTTTCCGCAGGCGACGTTCCTCCGGCCGACGACCGACAGCCTGGAAGTGACACTCACCGGAGCATTGAGGACGAAAGTAGACAGCGACGGCGCAGATATTATGGTGGCGCTGTACGAGAGCGGCCTGGTCACGGATTGCTCCGGCGGCGACAACAAAGGGCGAGTTCTGGCCAATGATTTTGTGGTGAGAAAGCTTGAAAAGCTGTGCTCCGTTAAAAGCGCCTCCGCTAAAAAAACCGTCTCCGGCACCGTCGCTTTTTGTCTGTGGGAGAGCTTTAACGGCACGAAATGCGGCGTCGCCGTCTTCGTTCAGAATAATTCGCATCATATTTTCGGTTGTCAGAGTTTTCAATTGCCGGAAGATATATGAAATTTGAGCGGAATTTGAGTGGTTATCGACTTCCTTGGGGCTCATCAATGGCGGCCGATCGTTTGTGGCGGCCGTTTTATGTCTAGTATATGCAAGTCCGTTAACTACTTGGTAGAGTTATTGTTTAAATTTTTTTCCTCGTTTGTTTAAATAGTTGTTTTGTGACTTTTTATAACTATTATTTTCTTTAAAATGGTCTATTTTAAACTGAGATTTAATTTGTATTCATGTATGTGTATCCATTTACTCAATAATCTATTCATTCTAAACTTATCCATTTTGCTCCATTTCATTTAATTTATCATTATATATATGGATTAGCCCAAACCAAAATACCCAACAAGCATTAGCTCTCCCTGAAAAGGAGGTGATTCAACCGCACTTCACTCCAGTCACTAGCCCTGCCTTCGGCATCCCCCTCCTTGCGGTTAAGGTAACGACTTCGGGCATGGCCAGCTCCCATAGTGTGACTGGCAGCGTGTACAAGGCCCGGGAACGAATTCACCGCCGTATGGCTGACAGGCGATTACTAGCAATTTCGACTTCATGCAAGTGAGTTGCAGCCTACAATCCGAACTGAGGACGGGTTTTTGGAGTTAGCTCACCCTCGCGGGATCACGGCCCTTTGTCCTGGCCATTATAGCATGTGTGTCGCCCAGGGCATAAGGGGTATGATGACTTGACGTCATCCTAGAATTTAATGGTGAGATTACCCATGATTAAAGAACAAAATATAATAAAAACATCTCCCTAACAAATAGTGTATAGTGTCTGTCCGTAGTAGAGAAATTTTGGCAAACAGATAAAAAAAAAATGAAATATGAAACTCAAAAATGCATTGTTGCCGCTTAGTAAGCCATACAAACGTTGTATAACCTGGCCTGCTTCTTGATTAAATAACAGAAGCAACACCCAGATTTAACCTCAACGTATGTAATTTCTGCAAAAACATCTTTCACCACATTAATTAATTCTACACCTTATCCATCCAAAACTTTGAAATCTTATGATCATAAGCTCAGGTACATTTATTTTCACAACCAGAATTCATCATCTACGATGAGCGGCATAGCATTCGACTCTCGATCGAGTTCTTCAACTTTCCTGCAGCTCATTTCATAAGTAACAACACTGACGACGTCGATGTCGTATTATTTTTCCGCTTGATGAACATTCCAACTAATTCCATTCATCTTCCAGATATCCAGGGATTGAAGATGGGTAATACCTGTACAGATTTACCACTGGAAAAGTGTGTAATGCAACAGTAAATCTAACTTTACACAACTTGTTGACGAGCAAGGTATTTCTCCCTTCTTTCTTTCTGAACAATCAATCCAAAAATGAAAATCAGAGGATTATAAGATTAATTAATATATGAACATAAGATGAACTCAACATTATTCAGAACATCATACCCATTCATCTATCACAAGGCCTTCCCCTACAACCGGTGGACCTGTTTCTGCTGGAGGTTTCTTGCGTGCTTCAAGTGCAGCATCAGCTTCGGCCAAATGACGTTTGAGTTTTTCAAGAGCCTAAAACATCAAAATGGCATTAAATTGGACCTCTCTCTTTCTCACTCTCTCCGACAAGAACAAGAACACGAACACGAACAATAACAAGCCTGTGTTTTATTGATTTACTTACAGCACTAGGTCGCTCTGGATCTACAAATACGACCCGCAAAATTTGCTCAACTGTTACCTGGTCCTTCTGTTCATCAAACTGAAAATTTTGCACAACATAAGTACATGCCAACAAAAAAGTTTGATGTCGAACTTTTACTATCGATCGTTCAGTGATCGAAGACAAATATGCAGAGTTCTTGAGGTGAGGAGGTCATTAAGTGATTGCACCCAACTTCAAATAATGAAAAAACGAACTCATTAACTTATTTCAGTTGCTACCACAGAAGAAAGTCCATTAGGAAGTAGTACACTAACTGGAGATGCTGGTTGACAAAAATTCACACTAAACTACATTGACAACATGGAGGAAGACAATGGAAACCTTAATGTCGGATAGAACACACAAAATGACAAAAACAGAAGGCAAGACATTGGCTATGTTTCATGAATCAGAAATGTATAAGTTTAACCAATCTCAAAACAAGCAGAGAGAGAGGAGGGGAAGAAAACCCCAATTCAAACCGACACTCACCAGCTCGGGTACGTATTCAGTTCCTGCTTTCACTTTAAGGCTCATGATCTTAAACTTAATTTTGCTCTTCTGGTCCATTGGCTTTTCATTATTCTCGGGCTGCTCAACAAATCTGAAGACTGTTTAAGAGATGAAACCAATGGATTCTTGAGTTGATATTGATTATGTATCAAAAAGTAAGAAAACCACAAAAAAGGAAATAGGGTTATGAAAATGGAAATATTACCAGTAGCAATAAAATTTTCTCCTGGAGCCAGAAAACCACCAGGAGGCCGCATATAACAGCTCTTGGGGGCGGTAGTTTGGAACTGAAGAGAAAGATACAGAGACCATTTAGGATGATATACTCGCATTTCAAGTAATCTTGGAAGTGAACAGTTCACATTCATTTGAATGATATTCAAACAAGTATGCAGTTCACCAGCCTTTCCCTGGCTTGCTGGTAATGTGAATTTACTTTAGTAAACCAAAGAACAAAAATACAGGAAAAACTCGAAGAAAAACCTTCAACGAATTTGATTTCCTCAGCTGAAGAACTTTACAAGAAGCTGAAAACAATTTGAATGCAAATTTTCACAGCTTGGAATGCAAAATTGAATGCAAACAATTTGAATGCAATTACCCAGAAACATCAATTACTATAAAGGTAATTGGAAGATCAGCATAATCTAACAAGACTCATTGTTTTCAAAGTATAGAGAGGAAAAGTTCATCAGAAGAACAAAATCAGATGCATTCAAACTTCAGTAAAGCGTTTGCCGTACCCTTGGCTTGTTTGGGGCTTAAAAAGTAAGAAATCAATAAAGAATAATGGAAAAGAACAAAAGGTGAAAGTAGGCCTGCTATGGAAAAAAACACTAAAGTAATACCTTGAAAGCTACATGAGATCTGCTCGTGTTCTTCAACCTGATGGCGCTCTTTACCTGCTTCCCGGGTTCATCTACACAGCAATCATCAAACAATACAGAGATGAAGACGAGTAAGAAGAAATCGATGCAAATTCTGAACAATTATTCCGTACATTTATCCAAAACTTGCAACTCCCCTGCTTCATGTAAATTTGAAATTCAACTCGCAAATGGCAGCCGGAAAATCGATTGGAACCACTATTTAATTAGATTCAAAATTCGAATTCATGAGAAAACGAGTATCATTTCGGGCTCGCATTATCCAGATTGAAGGTTTCCAAATGGTTCGAAACATCCGATTTCGAATTCTAATTAACCACTACAAGTCAACAACAGCAAAACCTCACCATCCAATTCAACAACCTAAGCACCAGCAATGAACAGAGAGACGAAGAGAGAACAACAACTTACAAGGGAAGAACAAGCAGTTGTTAGGATCAAGCCGAAGCCGACGGCGAGGAGGCAACAGCGACTTCGCCACAGAGGACACCGTCTTGGAAGACGATGAAGTTTTCATATTATTCGACGCGGCTAAGTTTCTATCACTAGGGCCATGGATACTACGATGAAGATTCTGAGTGGAGGACGAAGAAGACGAAGTATTCCCCGATTGCCACATCGAACACAACCTGAAGACCTTGCGACGATCAGCAACGGACATGGTCATCAACAATATCCCATTAAATTTTCCCGACCAAAACTGAAAATGGACGGAGGAGGAGGAGGCGACGGTGACGGAGAGAGCGGAATCGAGGAGCGTATGTAAATACGACGGAATTTTGCTCTGATATCCGTGCGGGTGGACACGTGTCGAAAGGAGAATGCATCTTGATAGCCCAAACGACCGGTCGTGCAATTATTACGAATCCGTGCTTCTCTGAGTTGTAAGATTTTCTTTTTATGAGATGAGATGGAATTGTTTGGATAATATACACGCGCCTTTATGGCGCGTGTATTCCACGTTTACCTTTTCCCATTAAATTAATTCATTTTTTTTTTTTACAAGCACGTCAACAAACAAGACAGAGAATAATTACCGGGTAACATTTTGATTTATTTAATAAAAAGTCAATTTTTTTTTTTTTGGTAAATTGACTGTAAAATAAATTTAATGTTTTTTTTTTTTGGAAAGTATTTGATTGGTTTTGTTGATAAATACTTTGAATTTATTTTTAATATCTTTCAGATGTTTTTGTGATTAAAGTAAATTAATTACTCAAATATTAAATAGTTACTAGAAAAGAATTATTAGATTAAAATCTAAATCGTTATAGCGTGAAATCATGAATTTAAAATTTTTAGGTTAAATTTGTAAGTCCGAACTTTAACTCAAATAAGTTGAGAAATTTGGTGCAACCGACTCAAAACTAGTACCATAAAAAGTGAGACACGAGATAGAACCGTGTCTAAGATTTACCAACTTTGATCCATAGGGCAATTAAAATAGTGGGCTGTGGCTAAAGCAGTTTGGTGGAAAGTTGTTGGTTGATTTCCTACCAATTTATTGGGTCAAAGTAATGATGAAAAATAAATGCTTCAAGTTGACTTTTTGTATTTTTAATATTAAAAATCATTTTTCTATGTTCATTTTAATTATTAGAAAAGCCCATTATTTTGGGAGGGATCTAATCAACTGCTTTAATTATTTCTAAATATGGTATCCTTTAATTAATTTTTTTTGTTGTTGTTTTTAAAGGTCTGACTAATTTATTAAAAAACAATCTTGATTGTACTATTTCATAAATAATTTTTAGAACGGTTTATTTAAATACGATCATTTAAAAAAAAAAAAAAAAGGTTTGAATTTAGAACGAATTTGTAGAATTTGTAAATGACAAAAATACCCTTTTAACGAGATACTAAATTTATTGTAATTCAATCGGTAATTCAAATCAAAATATATTCAATTGTTAAGTATTTAGAAATAGAAAATATTAGTAATTAGTATTCTAATCAATTGATTAAGAATTTGATACATATTCTTACATTCATAGAGACAGAATTACTTGAAAACTAAATTTCACCTAAAAAGAAAATGCGTTGGAAAGAAATTATAGCCATTAAAGATGCCCCCATTCTTGGCCACTGGCTTCTTTTATAAATTCCCCCTTTTCACATTCATGAATTAAATTTGAACTAATCTAATGCAAC